AGGGTTTTTCATGTATTATGTGTTTTTATTAGGTATGAGTGTCTAATAAGAAAACTGAAAATAGTAGGACCTATTGAATATTCTTCTCTGTCAGTTAGTTTGAACACTTCACAGTTCACATCTCGAAATTTTGCTACAATGCTACATATCCAAGAAAACGATTCTTCTCATTTCTACATCGAACATCTGCATCGATATCTTATGTATAGACATCTCCTGTACCATAAGGGTGCCATTCGTTTTGATTGGTTATTCTGTGTTAGTTAAATAAAGGAGTAAAAATGATTTCGATTGAGGATTTTAAATCCCTTACTTTAATCAAGAGATACTTTTATCTGAGATTTAGAGCACATTTGAGGCTTAATTGGTGGGAGTAGATGAATGGATTATGTGAAGTTATCTGAAAACAATCGTTAAAAATAGTAGTATATCAAAATGATATTGTCACTTTCATTCAAAAAGACAACATATGTATTTTTGTTATATTGATGATCATCCAGTAAACTAATACTTCGTGCAACATATTTGGTAAAACGAAATCTAATTGATAAGTCTACTAAGTCGAAAAAAGATTTAACGGACGAGTTCTCATCGTTTAAAATGCAATACTAGGACAGAAAGTACAAAAGGACAGGAACTCAAAAGCAGCAGCAGCACCAGTGAAACTACTGACAAGGGTAGAGCAGCTGAGGCTACTAACTAAGGCAGAGAAAGCAGGGGTATTATCGGCAGCCGAGAGGTTCGGATTATCGCTGACAACAATTGAGAGACTTGGCCTGCTATCTAAAGCAGAAGACCTGGGAGTTCTATCAGCAGCCACTGATCCGGGAACACCTTCGGGTCTGTTCAGCCTTAGCATAGGATTGCTAGTCTAAGGTCCTATTTGTGTGTATTTTGTGCCTGAGGATTACCCTTGGGAGATTGGTTTCCAGGTGCTGGTAGCTTTTTTCTCTCTTGTCGGTGGCTCTGCCGCCTTTGGTGCCTCGAAACTTGTATCAAACCTGCAGAAGTCATCAAATTGAGTATGCATGGTTGACATTAAAGATATGAACCGAATTTTAACTATTCTTGTTTTTTTTGTTGTTGTTGTTGATACACATTGTTCGATTTTCACTATGGGTCATCCGGAAACAGTCTCTCTGTGCTTTAGTACATGTGTAAAACTGCGTACATCCGACCCCCTTACCCCACCGAAGGTGTGGGAGCCTTTGCGGCACTGAGGCAATGATGACGATGATGACCTAAAATAGTTACTTATTGCCTATCTTATTAGATTTGAGTGTTACACATACCTTCAATAATGTATACGAGCAGTTAAAAGCAACTAACTATTGACAATTGAAAAGTTAATAACTACTCCATTTTAAATACTCACTCCGTTTCAAGCTAAGTTATTTTATATTTTGACCTTCATTTCATTTCAATCTTTTCCTCACTAATATATCATTCAATTAAAACAAAGAAATATTATAAATTAATAACTAAAATAAATATTGTTTACAAAATTGTGACTTCATAAGTGTAGTGACCATAGTAGTAACTTTAGTCATACTCTCTGTTCTAAAAATCGTTCTAGGCGCCCGACTAGTCCCCGCCTAGGTGCTAGGCGGTGGTCGGGCGCCCCGATTTTCGTCTAGGCGCTCCGACTAATTGGTTTGCCGTCTAGGTGAATTAGTCGCCCGCCTATGGCGCCTAGTTGTCCGCCTAGAGCGCCTAATCGGCCGCCTAGGGCGTCTAATTTGTCGAAAATTACTTCACTTTTTAATTTTCTAAACGATATACTTACTTTAACTTTAGCCATGAATATAAAGAAATGAAGTTGTAAATAAAGATAAAACCATATATGTTTGTATATATACCTAAATTTTATCATTATTTATATTTATAACATAATAAAGTTAAGTGATTAGTTATCATATACTTCGTATGATTAAATGTGATAATTATAGCATTCATGTTTGTTAATGTATATGTATATATGTATTTTATACACACAAAAATACAATATTACTTATCATATTTATGCAAAAATATAGATAAAAATGCAATTTCTGTGTCTCCGACTAGTCCCCGACTAGGCGCCCGCCTAGCCGCCTAGGCGCCCGCCTAGCCGCCTAGGCGCTAGGCGCTGGGTTGGCGCCCGACTAACGCCTAGCGCCTTTTAGAACATTGGTCATACTAACTTATGCTCAAATTTTACACTTAAATGACTATGAAACTATACTCATACTAAAATTAGTCATGTTTTTTATAAATAAATTTTGCTTTAGTAATATTTTTGAAAAAACTAAAATAAAATTAAAGATCAAATAAAAATAAAATATTTTGTTTTGATAGTTGGGATTTCAATTTGGGCCTTACTTTGAAAAGACATCAATTCATAACAACATCAATAATATAAATCCAGGAAGATGAACTTCTGATTTTGAAAAGGCTTGAATTGCATAACAATATCAATAATTAATAAAACAAATCGAATCTCGAAAGAGGAAATATTATTGAAGTATAGAAGAAATCTAGAAAAAAACTACTAATGTTGTTAATTCTAGCATGCTGGGATGAGTAAAATCTAAGGAGAAATATATAGTGATATATCTTATCACTATCACAAAGAGAATTTGCATGACACATCATTAGCTCATCAGTTATTAGCTTTAAGAATTTGTGATTGGTTCTGTTCAAACACAAATAAGCACGAGGTCTTCGTATCATATAAGGGCTATATATATTCACAATTACAATCATTTATTCGAATTAGGAAATTAGCATAGGTATTATTCAAATTAGGAATAGCTCTAAAGTAGTATGGTGTTGACATGTGGCAATACTTTCCTTAAGTGTAGCCGTAAAATATATTATTTATCACGGATTATTAATGACAAAATAATAAAATAGAAACATATGAATAGGGTAAATCAGAAAATATAATAATTTGATTTGTTGCATTGAAATATGGTGAATGTGGAAAGAAATAAAGGGGTTGTCAATAGAAATACCCTATGATCAATTGTGGATCTTACATGGGCTCATGGGGAGCTAAACCCTGTTGTACTAGTTGTCAATCAATTTATAGTTTTTCTTTGGGGGTTCTCATCTTTGATCTATTGTTTGAGTTTGAATAAGATACTACAATTTCATTTTTTTGTTTTGATATTTTAATATATTTAGCTCTTAAGAAAGGAACATAAATACGTGTATGTAAATGATAAATTGAAGACCTTTTTTTACAGTAAAAGGCTTATATAGTTATATTAAAATGTTGAGAACGAGTGATTATGAATGATTTTAATTGGATTGAAAATTTCTGATCTAGTTTGGTCTGATCTAAACTGGTTTGGTCTGGTAATTGTATGGTCTGTGTTTATTTTAGAATTGTCAAATTCTAGTCTGATGTAGTATGATCTCGTATGGACTTGAAGTAAAAACATTGTACATATCAAGAAAGATTCCCCCAACTAATCTCAAGTCCTAAATCAGACATAGAGACAAACTCATAAAAGAGCAATCTAACTCACAAACCTCGAAATGGGCAACAATTAGGTTATAAGGATCGAATTAACATCTCTATCTCCCAAGTTTTTTTTTTTGATAATCCAGATGTCGGTGCTTGTGCTCCCCTAATCCTGGAGTCTATTGACTACCCTCCAAAGCCTTCTAGACAAGTAAATCCGGATATGATCACAGTCAGGACTGAATGCAGAAGGGTTTTTTTTGAATGCAGGACGAATCCAGCAGGACTTCCTTTCAACTGAATGCAGAAGGGTTTTTTTTGGCCTTTCAACTGAATCCAGAAGGGTCCTCCCACCACGCGAACCCGAGCCTGAATTTCCATCCCCTCCCTTCTTAGCCGCTGAGCAACTCCGTGAAAGTAGGAAGAATCATTGGGAGCAAGACCCCCCTCCTCTCCCCTAATGTGTCTAGCAGGAATCGAACCCGAGACCTTAGCTAGACACGGTAACCTTGCTTCCAGTGGACTGGAAAGCTAGGTTCTCTATCTCCCAAGTTTCAACTGCACTCAATCTTGTATCCTCACGACTATCGCCTTTCAAAACAATTCAAAGTCAAGCAGACTCCAAAAACAAAACAGAAATAAAGCAAGCAAAGACTCTAAATCAACCCATCAATATCACATCCTTTTCTTCATCTACGCCAAGCTCGCACAATCCGCACCATTAAAGCAGTAAGCTAACAATGCAACACCAAGCCATCTACCCCCAACATTCTTATTCCTTTAATCTAAGCAACCAAATCAATCCCGGCTTTAAAAAAAATACAGTGTCTTGTCTTATTTTATTACTCCACAAGTCTATAGTAATATCCAAGTTAGATGAGAATTACACTTTTAAGGAATTCCCCATCACATGAGGCATAGATTGAGAGTTGGGGAATTTAGATGAGAATTACACTTTTAAGGAATTCCCCATCACATGAGGCATAGATTGAGAGTTGGGGAATTTAGAAAGCTCTCCAAACATCTGCATCTCTTTAAAGAAGTTTAATCTGGGAATAGTTTGTGTTAATCACCGTGAAATAGTGATAGGTTAATGCAGGGGCATCCTAGAGATGTTAAAAGTTGTGTTTCGTTGGGGGCTGCAGGAAGTAAATTTGTGATTGTATATAGAATTACCCTTGATCATATCAGTCAACTTCTGGGCTGAGTAGACCTGATCCAGTTTCAGTTCAGTTCTTAATTGATTTTGTAGTCTATTTGGGAAAAAGAGCACATGAATCTACATATCTGGTCCTACCGTGGACCAAAAAAATACCTCGTTTCAGAATCTAGTTCCAGACCCGTTATTTGGGTTGGTGAAAAAATTCCAATTATAGAGGCTTCATCATTACCACAAATAAAAGCTTTCATACAATTGTTACTAATAACTCCTCATATAGCAATATAGAATTGACCTTCCTGCTTTTCTCAACATATATCGACGTAAGAATACTGTTCTGGCTTTTATTTGTGGCCAGGATATTTTCTCTTTTCAAACTTGAATGACATTCTTTAATTAATGACTTTTATAGCTACAAGTCAATTATTGATAGTTTTTTTTGCTAGCAACACATGTTTATCAAATCTTGTATTTACCCATTTAGAGGCATCACAAAGTCTAACAAATGAATATCTTTAGTTCAGCGCAAAAAAGATACAAGAACACAAAACCGATGAGCAGTGTATTAAGAAATATATACACTTGTTTGAGAAACAGTTTTCCTAGATAATGCTAAAACATAACACACCACTTTCTCCAAGAAAGATCGCCATGTTTTTAGTCATATCCAGGTATGTTGCTCTTTAGAAAAACCTCTGACGCCTTGGCCAAATACGCAAATATAGTGCTTTTCTCATTTGTAGATGAGGGAGTGCAATTACAAAATCAAGCATTCAGCACAACGGAAAAAGGACAATCTGAGAAGTTTTTCCCACCGCCATCAATTAATCTTCCTGTTCATGATTCTGCATTAGTGATTTCTACGTCGCTCTTTGTCCCTTGATGAATAAGAGGAACTATGGTAGTCCCGATCTGCACAAAAAAAAAAAAAATCACTTTGTTAAAACACTTTTGATGGTACATCATTCTAGAAAACTAATATGCCAAGTTCACCATACCTCCAGAAGAGTGGCGTTTTGACTTCTCCGGGAGGCCTGCAAAATTTACATCATTTCACATCATATGATGGGTATATCAGTGTGAAATTTCACTAGCTAGTTAGATTGTTAGAATGTTGCTCCCTCTGTTCCAAAATAAAATCGTGTATTTCAACACTTTTTTATCCCCAGAAAAACAACTCTTGATCAAGCAAATCTTATTATTTATTTAATCTTAAAAAATGATTGACTCAAAGTCATCTCAAACTATATAACTAATAGACCAACAAAAAAAAGATATCATATGATTCATGATAGTTGCCTTCCAAAAACAAAACAAAAAAGGGTCAGCCAGAATGCTTTTATTGCAAAGGAGGTAGTCGTATTACCTTTGTCTCTTGAGTGATAACTCCTCCCCTTGGCTCGATCCCTTTCCCTTTCAGACATATCTTCACGCTCCCTTTCCCTTCCCCTGTCACGGTCCCATGACTTTGACCTTTCCTTCTTCCTCTCCCTTTCTTTATCCCTATCATGGTTCTTGTCCTTTTCTCCGGCTTCTGTTTTACGTGTTGTTATTGATTTGGAAACAGGTTCTTCCCTTGTTTCTCCTTCCGAAGCCAAACTTTTAGATTCTTCCTCACTCTTTGTCTTATCATGAGGGGCCCTATTTGCCACATCTTTACCCACTTCCTGACCCATCACTGCAAAAGAAGAAGGCCCCTTTGGACTACTGCTGATGTCATCATTCCGTGACAGGCCATTTGATGGCACTTCCTGATTATTGCCAGGTGGACAATAGAAAACATGACTATAATATAAGATTATGTCTTAGTATCCAGAGCTGGGAGGACATCAAATAAAAAAATCAAGGGTTGGCTTTTATTCTAAACTTATTTTAATTGAGAACCAGAAAATGTGCACGGGTTTTACTAAAAGAAACAAATCTTGAAGTAAGAAATCTAAACCCTAGGCCCTTGTCTGGTTGGGGGACTTTGAAGGGAATGGGTAGCATTCAACTAATTAATTTATACCTACATTGGATGGTGAAAAAAGTGAAGATGAAAAATTATACAGAACAATGGTTTCACTTCAAATAGGTATTTTCTAATCTAAAGCAAAAAAAAAAAATAGAAATAAAGTAGTGAAAAAAACAAAAAACACCCGTCCTCTAAAAAACCCCTAGGAAACAAGCCGTTAGATCACATCACATACTAATGTTGAAAATTTTGAGGAGATTTTGAGGAGTTTTTTTTACCTTAGACATTGTCTGAGCGGGAGAACCCAATGATCTATTTGATGTTGAAAATGAACCGCCTTCCTTGCATACAGGAATATATTGGGCCTTCGGAAGATTGTAAAGATGGGCCAGAACGCGGCAAACTTCATCGATCCCGGCCTTGTCTGCATCAAATGCTTTCCACCATGGAGGATTCTCGGGCAGTGGAACTTGAAATCTACGGGCTGCAGCATATACAACTCCACAGGCCACAACCTCACTCTTAAATCTAACACACAATGTAGTGCGCAAACTGAAAAACAAATTGGGAGGTGTCAGAAAGATAGAGGACAAAATGCGAGGACTAAAGAAGAGCAAAGAGAGAAAAAATGATGCATTATCACGACAAAGCTATATGCCCCCTCTGTCCCAAAAACGAGTTCCCACGTTTTCTATTTGGATGTCCAAAAATAAAGTTCTCATTTCCATAGCAAGAAAAACATAATAGGTTAATGTCACTCTTACCTTTACTTCTTCCTTACTTTTTGCTTGATTTGCCATACAGGGCATACTTGGAAAGTCAAAACAGAAATTTGCCTCACATAAAAATGTACGTAGGTCAAACCGAGAACTTGTTAGTGTGTTATTACCTCCAGTCCAATATATAATGAGGAATCACAAAGGTTAAATATGCAAACAGGAAACCTAGAAAAATGAAGTCTTATTGACTGTGTGCACTGATTCCAAACGAGCAATGCGCTGCGAAAACGAAATATGATGTGCCACAAGCATGTGCCTTGCGGGGCAGTTGAGGCCCCTAAGCCTTGATTTCGGATTTCTCTCTTGACATCTACACATTTTGGATCTTTTTTAACACTTAAGTTTTAATTACATGAGCCTCCATCGGCAGCCTTCAGGAAACACCATCTCAGCCTCCATCGTTCACTAAGAGCATATCAGCTCTCCACACATCACCAACCACCACAAGGTAAATCACCATCTCCTTACCTCCTCATTTCAGTGTTTGTTTCTTCCCAAAAGGACCACTCTCTCTCTCTCACCCCTCTTCTCTGCCTCTACTATTGACCACTGATCAAAGTTTACTTTTTCCCTGTTTCTGCAGCTAGTGTAATTGTAGTTGGTCTTTAAGTAAAAAAAACATGTTCTTCATTCATATTATGAAAAGAAATGAATACTTTATGCTAATATCTCACGAACACAGTCTCTGTGCTCCTAAGAGTAGGGGTAAGGTTTCCGTACACCTCTACTCCTAGGAGTCGGGGTAGGTTTATGTAAAACTCAGCCCCCCCATACATCTCAACCTGATAGGGATCTACCTATATTAGGAATTGGGCCTAATAGACTGTTAGGAATTGGGCCTATTTGAGCAAGAATAATAATAAGTGTATTAGACTACTATAAATAGAAGGAAGGCTGGGAGGGGAAAGCAGGCTGTTTTAGACTTGGACTCTGGGATTTGGGAAGATCGAGAACTCTCTCTTTCTTTGGGGGGCTTCGGCTCATTGGGGGCTTCGGCCCTGGTTTGTTTCTTGTTACAGATTCTTGGTCAACGATAATAAAGTTTGATTGTTTTTCTTGATACTCTTCTACACTTTCTTCTTGTATTTGTGTGATTTCTGGAGATCTCTAACATTGGTATCAGAGCTGTTCGATCGCTGGATGAGATACACTCGCGCGAAAATGGAAGGACGCATGACTGATGTCGAAAGGAGTTTGATAGAGATGCAAGACAGAAATCAGCGTGATATGCGAGAACTTCAGATGAATATGGAACGAAACCTGGCGACGGGTGTCACGGCGTTGCAGGCAAGCATCGCGGCTTTGCAGAATCGAAGTTCAGGACGTTCAAGGAGTAATTCGCATCATTCCGTTACTTTTCATCGGACACCTCATCATCGCCGACATACAAGAGAAGAGGATAGTTCTGAAGGATCAGGTCATAACTCGGTTTCGAATAGAAGCCGCGATCATCACCAGGATCATCGGAACTATCATCATAGGAATCATCATCCGATAGGCAGGAGAATCGACTTACCTCTTTTCAACGGACAGGATGCCTTCGGATGGCTGGTAAGAATGAACCGCTACTTTCGTTTGAACCAAACCGAGGAGGAACAGAGAATTGATGTTGCGGTCATGGCTATGGAAGACCAAGCCTTGAGCTGGTTCCAATGGTGGGAAGGCCAAGCACAACATTTGACATGGGCACAGTTTACCAAGGATCTAACTCTTCGGTTTCAACCTGAGTTGGTAGAAAATCCTTTAGGGCCATTGTTCAGTCTAAAACAAAAGGGGACAGTTGCAGATTACAGGGATAGATTCGAAATAGCCATAGCCACACAAGGACATTTGACTGAGGAGGTTTTGAGAGGAGTGTTTGTGAATGGCTTAAAACGTGATGTGAGAGCAGAGTTGAAGTTGTATTCTGCCAGGACATTGGCTGCAGTAATGAATACTGCTATATGAAATAAAACAATACTTGTTTTTAATGAAAGAGCGTTTTGAATTGTTTCATATTTTTCAAACTTTTTGTGCTGAAATTCAAACTCAGTTTGGTCATTCTATCAAAATTTTACGCAGTGACAATGCTAAGGAATTTTTTGGGGCATCCTTTAATCAATTCATGACATCACGGGGTATGCTTCACCAATCTTCTTGTGTTCACACGCCTCAACAAAATGGGGTTGCTGAACGTAAGAACCGACACTTGGTTGATACTGCTCGTACCCTATTATTACATTCCCATACACCACCTCAGTATTGGGCATCTGCCCAATAAATAGAATGCCTTCCTCAGTTCTTAATAATCAAATCCCCTATTCTATTTTGTTTCCTGGTCGTGATTTATTTCCATTACCACCTCATGTGTTTGGGTGTGTGTGTTTTGTCCATGATACGACACCCGGATTAGCTAAAATGTCGGCTAGGTCAATAAAATGTATCTTTCTTGGATATTCGCGACTCCAAAAGGGTTATCGTTGTTATTCTCCATTACTTAAGAAACATTTTATTTCAGCCGATGTCACCTTCATTGAGTCGTCCTTTTATTATCCATTATCTTCAGTTGATACCCCATCATGTTTGGACTTCACCTCATATCTCCGGCCCATTCATCAGGAGACTCCCATTACACCCCCATCTGGTGAGCACCCGAACTTCCCTCCTTTATCAGACCGTCCATTACAGGTATACCATCGACGTCCTCGACCTCATCCCATTGAGCCCATCGTGGCCACGCCCGTTGATTCCCCTATGACGGATCCTGCATCACCACCATCACCTACTCCAGCACTTGAAACCACTCAGGATGATTTGCCCATTGCCCTCCGAAAAGGTACGCGTTCCACATTGAATCCACATCCCATATATAACTTTTTGAGTTATCACCGCCTCTCTACCCCTTACTATGCTTTTATTTCCCACCTGTCTCATATATGCATTCCTAAAACCACACATGAGGCACTGGCACACCCGGAGTGGCGTAAAGCCATGTTGGCTGAGATGGAGGCTCTTCATTCTAGTGGAACGTGGGACTTAGTCCCCCTTCCCACTGGAAAATCTGTGGTGGGATGTCGGTGGATTTACACAGTTAAAATTGGGCCTGATGGGGAGATTGATCATTTTAAAGCACGCCTTGTGGCGAAAGGGTATACTCAGATATATGGTTTGGATTACACTGACACTTTTTCTCCTGTAGCGAAGATTGCATCAGTTCGTTTGGTTTTATCCATGGCAGCAATGAGCCGCTGGCCATTGTTCCAATTGGATATTAAAAATGCATTCCTTCACGGAGATCTGCACGAGGAAGTTTATATGGAGCAACCACCTGGATTTGTTGCTCAGGGGGAGTCTGGTATGGTGTGCAGATTACGTCGTTCATTATATGACTTGAAGCAATCTCCACGTGCATGGTTTGGGAGGTTTAGTTCTGTTGTGTGCAGCTTTGGCATGATTCGCAGTGATGTCGATCATTCTATATTCTACAGACATTCTGCTGGCAACAAATGTATTTATCTTGTTGTGTATGTTGATGACATTGTCATTACAGGCAGCGATGATCAAGGAATTGCGCTCCTCAAACAACATCTCTTTAGCAAATTTCAAACAAAAGACTTGGGAAAGTTGAGATACTTCCTTGGCATTGAGGTTGCACAGTCTCAAAATGGAATTGCTCTCTCACAAAGAAAGTATGCCTTGGATATTCTTGAGGAAACAGGTTTGCTAGATTGCAGGCCAGTGGATACACCAATGGATCCGAACGTTAAACTCTTATCAGAACAGGGAGATCTTTTGCCTAACAAGGAAAAATATAGAAGGCTCATTGGCAAATTGAATTATCTTACCATCACAAGACCAGATATTTCATTTGCGGTAAGTGTTCTTAGTCAGTTTCTTGATAAGCCATGTACTAGACATTGGGATGCAGCTATCCGAGTTTTGAGATACATCAAGAAAACTCCAGGGCAAGGATTGTTGTTTGAAGATCGAGGCCACCATGATATTGTGGGATACTGTGATGCAGACTGGGCCGGATGTCCAATGGATAGACGTTCCACTTTGGGATATTGCATCTTGATTGGTGGAAACTTAATTTCATGGAAAAGTAAGAAACAGGATGTGGTTGCCAGATCTAGTGCTGAAGCAGAATATCGTGCAATGGCCCTTGCTACATGTGAAATCTTATGGTTGAAGCATCTCCTCCAAGAGTTAAAATATGGAAACCTTAAACCGGTTCAACTCATGTGTGATAATCAAGCCGCAATGCACATCGCATCAAATCCGGTATATCATGAGAGGACAAAACATATTGAAGTTGATTGTCATTTTATCCGAGAGAAGATCTCAAGTGGACATATCATCACAAAATATGTGAACACAACTGAACAACTTGCAGATATTTTAACTAAGTCTCTTAGAGGTCCTAGAGTGGGATATATTTGTAACAAGCTTGGTACATATGATTTATATGCTCCAGCTTGAGGGGGAGTGTGGAAACCCTAGTAGTATTGGGCTTAGCCCATTTGTATATCTTGTATAGGAAACCCTAGTACTCTAAATATAGCTATAAATATAGCTTCTTGTATAGCATTTTGATATCAAGTATATGAAATAAAACAATACTCGTTCACAGAAACTAATATCATGAAGAGTAAAGATGATGGAAAGAAGATCTTGAAAACAAATTCATCAGGTGGACAGAGCTATCATAAATGGGGAGATGGTAGTCGAAGTAGTTATAATCTGGCATCCACAAATCAAATGATGAACTCAGATGGTAGCAAGAAGCTGGAAGAAGGATCAAGTTCTGTTTCTAAGAAGACAAGTCCCAGATTATCACAGAATGAGCTGCAAGAAAGAAGTAAGAAAGGGTTATGTTTTAAATGTGGTGAAAACTGGAATCGGGGTCACATCTGTAGTATGAAAAATTTTAAAATGATGCTAGTAGAACTATCTGAAGGGGAGGAAGCTGATGTTGACTATAATAAGGATAAAGTAGAAGAAGGAATACATATGGAAGCTAAAACTATGCAATTATCTGTATTGGACAAAGAAGGAACACCACCCATGAGAACATTCACTGTCCTGGGAAATCTGAAATGGATGACTGAGGAAAAGAAGGTGAATATCTTGATTGATTGTGGAGCTACTCACAATTTCATTTCACAGAAGATTGTTGATGAATGGAAGATACCTTTTAATTGCATTAAAGGGAATAAAGTGCAGATAGGGAATGGGGAATTTCTTCCCAACTATGGTAGGTGTGATGGGTTGACAGTGGATGTACAAGGAAATGAAATTCTGCAGAAATTTTACATGCTGCAACTGGGTGGAGTTGATGTCATGCTGGGAATGGAATGGTTAGCTGGCTTAGGAGATATGGCAGTAAACTTTCAGAATCAGACCATCCAATGGGAGGTACATGGGCAGAAGGTACATATACAAGGAGATTCTTTATTAAGGCAACTGGGAGCTTACAAGGAAATGAAGAGCCTGATAAATAAGAAGGGAGAAGGAAAATGGCTGAACTATCAGTGTTTATCAAAGGATGTGGAAGGAGGTGTACAGAAGCAGGAAGTTGCTGTCCCCTATGTTGCAGCAGGCTGCACTTTGGTCTCATCAGAATCTGTAGGAATCAAAGTTTTGGATAAAATGTTATGGCATCTGAGTAACTCTGCTGCGAAATACATATGGCAGAAGATAGAATTAGCAAAGCTAATGATCCAGCAGTCAATCAAGTATTGGAAAGGGAGGGGGGCTAGGATGAAGGCAAAGAAGGAAGTCTTGGCTGTTTCCTATCACCCACCTTGAGGGCAAGGTGGATGTTTAGGGAGGGAGTATTGATAGGGATCTACCTATATTAGGAATTGGGCCTAATAGACTGTTAGGAATTGGGCCTATTTGAGCAAGAATAATAATAAGTGTATTAGACTACTATAAATAGAAGGAAGGCTGGGAGGGGAAAGCAGGCTGTTTTAGACTTGGACTCTGGGATTTGGGAAGATCGAGAACTCTCTCTTTCTTTGGGGGGCTTCGGCTCATTGGGGGCTTCGGCCCTGGTTTGTTTCTTGTTACAGATTCTTGGTCAACGATAATAAAGTTTGATTGTTTTTCTTGATACTCTTCTACACTTTCTTCTTGTATTTGTGTGATTTCTGGAGATCTCTAACACAACCCCTACTTCTGAGAGAAATATACTGGTTTAGCAAGGGTTTTCTTATGGCAAGATCTGTTCTGCCAATGGCACTCTTCCGATTTTCAACACTTCACCAGTGGTTTTATTATGATAAAATACACTTCCTAGATGATACTATGGTTTCTAATTTTCTATCCATCAAGCATCATACTTCCATCTATGACATGCCTCCGATATGATACATTTGTATTGCTGAGTTGAACTGATGAACTAATCTTCATACTGACGTGTATGACTGTGTACAGAAACTACAGACTAACTCAGTCTTATAGTTCGGACTATCAATTATACCCAATGTGACCATGTTGGGGACACCACAATCACGAATGCTTGCACCCAGTGTTTGTAATTGCGCAATGCCTTTATGCCTTGAGACTAGCCTCAGAGATTTTTGGGGTAGATGCGCATTATGGCGGATCCTAAATTACACAATGTTGAGGCTTACACATTTAGGTTGAGGTCGGAGTGAAGCTTACAGCCTTACACAGTTGAATTTCCAAGTTTTAACTCAATAAGTTGTGCCCACAACAAAAAACAATAATTTATAAGTTTTAAAGTCAAAATGATTCTCCTTCAATACCTCACAAGTCACACGCAGCAGCTAGTTCAGCGCTCCAGTTAATAGCCTGTCGAAGAATTTCATTGCCTTCCTAAGAATTTCATGATGCAAATAATTCTTAAGAAAAGAGATGCATGGTTGGAAACTAGTGGCATTCTTCATATTCTTTTAGGGTTTGACTTTTTCATAATGATTCTTTCACTAGGAAGGAAATTGTATCTCTTCGATGTGGTGATCCATTTTATCTTTGTTATTGATCGTGTTTTTCTTTTCAACTCATCACCCATAAATGTGGCAGTGTGCCGGTCTCACTAGTCATCATCATGCTACTCATCTCTCTTATAGTGTGACACAGACACCTTGTTCCCTCCCGAAGCACCGCCACTACGGTGCCATCAATATGTCAAAACTATGGTCAACAGATCACTATGTGCAGAAGTCACTATGTGCAGAAGGGTATGCTATGCGCCTATATCTCAAATTATATGTATTCACTCATCATACATGCTAGTTCCTCAAAGGACTCCCAAGAAAACCTAAGATGTGAAAGGTCACTTGGTTTTGGATCGATGGAAATCAGAAGCAACATGATGCACACTATTTTCCCAAATTCACTTTTTTCTTGCTTTTTTTTTGCGTTTTTCTTGTTTTTTTTCTATTCTGAATTTCAGAAGCATGTTTACTTAAGTGCTTTTCAGTTTTTCTGTGTTCTTCCCATGTTTTGTTGAAGCCTTTAGTCTTTGGTTTTTACTTTTTTCAACTGTTATAGATAGGATGGTAAGAATATAGCTTGTGATAGCTTCATGCCCATTTTGTTGTCTGAAATGCGAGCTCCTCTTATGGGAGTGGCCACTTCTTTGCCTAGTCGTTCTACTAAATTTTAGCCCTCTGACAATTGTGAATGTGATTCTTTTGACCCTCCTTCGTGAACTTTGCTAGAAGCCACAAAGTGTCACTTTATAAAATATTAAAATTGTCAAAACACTAAAGTGAAAGAAAAAACAGATGTTGAAAGCGAGTACAAAAAACGTGTGTCACAAAAAGTTGAAGGACTAAAAGTAGAATTACAGAGACAACAAAATCCAAGCCGTATTACCAAAATGCCATTAACATAGTAGTAGACGGATACTAAAGTGGTAAACTAGTACTCTGTATATGTTTCCCCCCATAAAAATACTCCCTTTCAAAATAAAAAAATCATGTTTTCTTTTTTGGACCATCTCAATATAATCTTCATTTTTTCTTTAAAGAAAAGAATATGTGGTTCTTTATCATTTCATTCTTTTCGACTGAAGTCTCATACACACATTTTCCTTTTCAACCACTTCAATAATAAGTGTGCCAAACTCAAACAGGAAGTTTAACTCACGAAAAAGGGAGTAATGAAAAAAGCATATAGCAAAAAATGTCATTAAACCTAAAAACTTTACTACCAAGTTCTTGGAGTTCAAAATCAATATTAATGTCCCCATGTCATACACAAAACTAAGAACTGATCCTGTCAGCCTGTACAGCTGTACTATTCGTAATTCATAAACACAACTAAGATTTCAAGAGGCAGCATGTGTATTGAAATAAAACTGAAAGATTATTTATAGTAATACGGTCTAATTGATCTAATTGTTTGAATTATACCTGTCATTTGCAAGATTCCATGCTTCCTGTCTCAATTCATCAGGCATTTCAAGAGTTGCAATATAATTTGATATAAATTTATGAGGGTGTTCAACATGGCAGATGAAACCCATTTCTTTCAGAAGATGCCTTTCTGCACGAATCAAATCTGCCCTCAGATCAAGATATTTCTGTCCAAAGAATTAACCGAAGGTATTTAATCTATAAAACGAGGAACTTACTTTAATTTGAAAAGACATAAAACCAGAAGGTAAAACTAATAACACACATCTTCATTTCCTTTTGTAATTTTGGATTCCTTTCAGGTATCCATTCCTAAATAAGGTGAAGGAAAATAACACATACAACAGTCAAGAGGTTTTGACGTCCAGGATCGAGGAAAAAACAAGGCCCACTTCAAGGAAGAGCAAGAAAGATCGGAATAAAAAGTAAAACAATATCCACAATTCCACAAAGATCACTGTCTACCTTCAAATGGTCAAAAATTGCCCCAAGACTCAATGGACTGCAGATATCTAACCTTTGATGAAGTATCCAAATGCTCTATGGGTAAGTTCTCCCTCCGACATTCCAGCCTGTGGAAAACAATGAGGACCTGCCTCGCTTTTCTAGGACATTCTTCAAGTTTTGAGGCAAGCCACACACAACTTGCAGCAACCCTCTACGCACAATATAACACCATACCGGTATCAGAATATAAGATTACAATTTTTTTAACAATAATTGTTTCTTTTCATTTTTGGGATGAAGAAAGAGGAGTTATACCTTGACATTAAAGCGAGCAAATGACTTCTTGCCGTAAAAACGGTGGAACAGCACTTGACCTGTGGCCATAACAGCTTGAGGTCTGCGGATAACCATATTAAGGAGATACAAAGAGGCCATTTCAGTACAATAGAATCAATAGATCATTGAGCATCAACAGCTTAAAAGATATAATTAAAAATAGAGGATACAGTTTCAACAAAATTCCGCTTTCTTGAATAAGATCACACCCATAGATTTGAAGGGTAGTCTCAGTGGCTTCATCTATTCCATCTCTACGAGAAGGTGAGTTCATAAGCTGCTCATCCGTTAGGTAAAATGTGTCAATTGCTGTGTAAATCATAGCTGTTCAGGAAGTCAAGGAGTCTACCAACTGCAAAATAAAATAAGTTTCAGATGGAATTGTTCAATAACAATAAAAATATCGCTGCTAAAGAAGTCGTATGAAGTACGGACAGGCAAAACCGGATGCGACGAGGAAAAAGCACAGTCCAGTGGAACCTTTTTGGGATGCACTGAAGACGGAGAAAGGGCGTTGCGTTGAGGTACGGAAAAATCTGCTAGGTGAAGAAGGGGAGAAGAGGGGAGCCAAATCTAGGACTGATTTCTTTTGGTTTTGGTATTAGCCAAGGCCAGGTAAACCTCACATCAAATACGGAGTAGTATCTAATTATCATATATTTATACATTAGCCCCTCATTTAATATTTCATACATTATTTCACACATAAAAACTAAAATACATCATTTTAATATGTATTTTCACGCATTTCACTAATTAAAATACAATAATCAATATTTCACAAATACAAGCTAAAATCACATAAAATTAAATATTACAATAATATTATTCTAGACTTGGGTAGTTATAAAAATACAAAGAAATCAGACCATGCCACATCAGTTCAGACCAGACCAAATCAAACCAAACCGGCGTAGACCAACAAATTTCAGTCCAAGTAAAAACATACTCCTTCCGTCCCAAAAAATTGTTCCCGATTTCCTTTTTGGGCCGTCCCAAAAAATTGTTCCACTTTCCCCTTTTGGAAAGTTTTGTGTGTCTCACATTCATTTACCTTTTTCTTACACTACCACAACCATACATTTTCACTTTATTCCTACTTTCTTAAACTCCGATCCAAGTCAATGTGGGAACATTTTTTTTGGGACGAAAGGAGTACTAATTTGTTGTTTTAAAAATGGGTCAAAACTATAACAATCAAAACTTTGGGTCACATTTGAAATAATAAAAAAAAGTGGATGGCGTGAGATATGGTGTACGCCATATTTGGTGTAAAGCAAAAGTCTCTCCCCCAAAATGGTGTAATGGTGTAGGGGATGGTTTGACTATTGGAGCATTTTTTTACCAAATCCACTATTTTGGTGTAGGATTTGGTGCTTGTTGGAGTTGCTCTAACAGTGTGTTTGGGTTAATCGTGCAGTGAAAAGTTGGTGAGCGTGTTGTTGTACAATGAAATCTTTATATAGTTTTCACAATAAGATGATTCACAATGATGTGTGGTTAGTGTCTCGAATTAATTGATACTCCCACGTCTTATTATAATTGTCTTATTTTTCCTTTTCCATCTATCTCACTAATTCAATCTTACTTTATTCTCACTTTATCAGTTCACTATCAACTACATAACTCTAATTTTCAAAAAAGTCACATCATTCTTCTTTGTCTCAATCTTAGGGGGACAAAGGTAGTATTGTTTTTGCATTCAATTCTCTCTATTAATGCATTGTTTTCTTAGTAAAACAAATAGTGTGATTAGAATTTGTGCAGTGATATATGTTGAACTTGGATGTTTTTACTTGAACTATTTTAAGTCTCAGACCATACTAGGCTTAAACGGACCAGACCATACTAGACCAGACAGGACATAAACAAGACCAGACCAAACTTGACTTCCATATTTATAAAATACACAGAAATCAGACCAAATTAGACTTAAACAGACCAGACCACACTTAAACAGACCAGATCAGACCAACAAATTACCTTCCAAATAAAAACATCTGCATTGTATTAAAAGGTAGGTATATATTTGATATTGATGGCATGCAATAGAATAAGGGAGATAGTATTGAAAGTGGAGTTTGTATCAAAATGTAACCCGGTGCGTTGATCACGATTTCACACGTTTTTAGTAAAATTCAATTTTACATGTGGTTTGAATCGATTTTATAATTATGATGAATTGTAAAATTGTACGATTTTCGAGTTGAATTCTTATTTTAACAACCTTGATCACAAATACTAGTTCTACTCTCTCTAAATATTTATATATACTATGCATTTCTTGGTATGTTTTTTTGGACAAAAAAGAATAGTTTGTTATTAAAAAGCAAACAAAATACAACGCTCATGAGAGATTATCTCTAGTGAGTGAGAAAAGATAAAGAAAAAAGTCATCATGAAATCTAGTCCAATCCCGCCTCCACCTAAAAATTGCCCCCTTGTGCCAAAGACAAAAATCCATCAAGATGCGAAATTATGTCTGGGCGAGTTTTTTGACCTTTAATCTATCACACTCCCTGTGAACCAAACTATAGTTGGGTTAACTCTACTTGGGATCTGCAATAGAGTCCACACGATCTCTTAAGTCATCTGTGAAAGCATTAAAACTTGAGATTTAGCCTTAAATGACGAGGTACCGTGAAAGTTAAAGGAAACGTGAAGAGGTTTGAAATCCATAATAACCTCCACCGACTAGTCCGGGCCGGAACCGGAGCAGACCCATGCCTTCTCATCATCATTACCATTACCCCAGTTCCACAAAGGCTCCCACCTACGGTGGGTTAGGGGGTCAGATGTATCCCTGTACTAAAGCACATAGAGACTGTTTTCGGATGACCCAAGGTAAAAAAGCGCGTCGAAAGTTGCATGGACTGACTACTGCTTCATAACAAAGAAGCGCAAACAGTTTAGTCAGTCACTTTGTTTTATTCCATCATTTTCCCAAACCAAAAAATGATGAATCTTAGGCTCCATTGCAAAAGACGGTAATTCCAGGCCCATGCCTAGTATTGAGCATAATTTTTACATAAATTACCAACCAAAAGGTCCAAAACACATATCCTTCATTCTTCATATCTATCATGGAGATTAACATGGATTGTGCATCATCTTTGAGCTTTGTTTAGTAATCTAATACACTCATATATGTCTAGTATGCTCTTGTAATTTTATAATTAGTATATTTGTGCTTTTCCTTCACTTGTGATCTCTTGATTTCACATCTTTCCAAATCTATTGATACAAATAGTGAATGGTGGAAGACATCCAACTTTAAATCATCTTTGTAAATGGCTAAGGAGACAAATCATTGAAATCCTCGTAAGTGGTTCAAGAGTTTTGTTAGTTGATCAAATCCTCATATGGTCGAGGAGATCCATTTGTGAACCCCCATTCCGTTGGCAAGGTTGTTTGCCGAAGTTTCTTGTGGTGCATTTGCTCAATATCTGGGAGACTCGATGAATAATGAAGTCGAAAATATTAAGTTGAAGAATAGCGGTCCTTGCCATTAACAATTAAGACATGTTTGTCAATTTTTTAAAATTGATTATGGAATAGATTTATATTACTAAATAAAGTTTTTCATTGACATTATAATCTAAGAATAATACTAAATTGATTATTTACTCGATTCAGACTGTTTATTCCGCATACAAAATAAACAGCCCCATATACAAATATCATTTAATCTAAACATACATTTTAATCTAAATAGACATCTTAATCCAAACAAAACTTAATAGAAAAAGTAAACCGCCCAAGGCAAATAGAAACAGTGTTTAATCGTTCACAGTTCTGTACATTTGATAGGCCTGGATAACTTTAGTTTCGTTAAAAACATTGCCAGACTGCCAGTGTTACTCTAATACTCCGTATAATCTAGAAACTGTGGTGGGGAGTGGGGAGTGGGGACTGGGGAGTAGATAAACGTGGTTTTGAACAAATTGCCTTCGCTATCAGTTTAATGTTAGTACACACTTATATGGAAAGCTTATCCCATCAAAATCCTTCTAACTGCAAATTTAGCAATGGTCATACACCATGATAAAAATCATTAGAAAAAGAAAGAGATCGAAAGTAAATTACACAAAGCATTCCAAATAAAAGTAAAAGACAAATGCAGCAGAAACAAACTACTTTGAGAACAACTGCCTGCGCCTGGAATTGGATGGTTTAATGGTTCCCAAGAAGCAATCATCCTCACCTCTCACTAATTCGCTAACTAAATCCTTGAAAACCAAACGCTCCACGTCAAGCACGATAGCCGATACCTCTTGGTCAAACTCAGTCAAGCCCTCTGACTTGTTCACCACGTCTTCAGCATCACATTTGGATGGCCGATTTTGAAACCAGTGTTCTATTTCCATGCACACCTCCCTAAGTAGTTTCTGCGCATCCAAACCTTTTGTTGGCAACTTTTTGTGTTTCTTCAACCAGGGCTCCGAAAATGCCCCGAGAAAAGCCAGTTTTGAAGCAAGGATTTCATTGACAAGGTCAAAGACAAGCTTGCGGTGCTTTTTCCCTTCACACTTCATAGATTCGATGATGTTTTCGTTCTTGGTTTGCTCGAGAACCAAAAACAATTCCGGGTTTATCGGGAGGCCGGAGTGATGGAACTGGAACACTGTTATACTTGAGCCCATGTCTCTGAGGAGAAGGCCCGAAGCTAATAAAATTTCAGAAACGTATCTGTGATCCTGAGTTGGAGAGGTGTTCTCACAGAGAGATGCAATGTAATCTGTGCTGCCTTCATCATGACTAGAATTCAATCTTGTGAGCTTCTGAACAAGGTTTTCTATGTTTTGTAGTTTCTTTCTGTTGAACTCCTGTGCGATATCAGAACACGTGCCGTCGTAGAAAGCATCATCTGATGATGAATTACACAATGCTACACCATAGACTCTTTCTTGATTCTTGTATCTATTATTATCATCTGTTACACAAATGACTCTCTGTTAGACAAAATGGACATATTATGCTACACCAAAAGATAATACATTCATAATTTTTATGCTCCCTCCATCACACAATAATTTTCCAGTTTTCCTTACTCAGCCATCACAAAGAATTGTCACTTTCCATCTAAAGAAATAAACTTTTAGTTTATATTATTTCTCTATCCTCTAAACAAACATCAACCATTCAATCTTCATTTCCTTATTTCTCGTACTAGTTAAATATGGCAAAATTTTGCAGAACAAAGGACGTAATAAAGTTTTTTACATGGTGAACTTGCTCCAACGCCAAGTGTCAGTTACAATTCACCATGCATGCATACGTTTTAATACTATTTATTTTCTTTTATGGACAAGGACCGCATTTTATTTACTAAAATAATATATGTGCCTACACACCACCATCAACTTTTAAACTCAAAACCAGAACAGTGCAAGCATTCTAATGAACATTTTTTTACTCAGACAAAGACTATTCAATGGAAACGACCAAATATTTGCTCAGCAAATAGTAATGAGGGCTACAAATGAAAATGTATAGAGAAGGCTGGAAGGACACATTCATACATTACTTTCTATATGCACGTGTCTATAGCCATGGAGATAATGAATGGTATGTCAACACATACTATGAATACATATAAC